TGAGTCTTCTTCCAGTTGATTCGCAGTCCTATCCGCTTCCCTACTTCGTTTAGTTCCTTCAACATCGTCTACGCTTTAGTGATACTTTTCGAGAAGAGAACAGTGTCGTCCGCAAAACGAAGTCACTGTTTGTGTCAGACATTCTCCCTCAAGGGTTTCCATTCAAAGGCTTAAATCGGCTTTTTCGAGAAAAAAGCTCTTAGGCTCAGCATTCTCATTTCTAATATAAATCGTTGTCATGAGTTTTTCGGGAAGCTTGGATTCTCGAGAGAGAATGGCGTGGATTTGTTTAGTATCCAAATGACTGATGTTTATCCCTCTACGACAGTACCGATATGAACGACGACGGTTGAAGTTTGCCGCTGGTTCTGGTTGCCTATCTCAATTATTCGTAGAAGGAGGAAAGAGCCTTCGGAATTTTATCGTCTGCATGAAGTTGTGAGCTCCACATAACGTCGATGCCTTCTACGAAATATCTTTTTGACATCGGTCATTTCCTAATTCATGGGATGTAAAGAGATGACCTTTGCCTTCAATGCATCCACAGGTTATCTCTGAATTTTGTCCGAGCCTTTCTAATGTCAAACTTACAGCAGACGCGGTACAAGTTTCATGAAAGCACAAGAAATAATTTTCCAAACTTTATTCATAAATCAAGCTCTCTTAGGCTTTGCATATTTTATATTAATAAAGTAATTTACATTATTATCGAACAAATTATCAAGCTATCACTATATTATAAGATGCTATCGTCATTTGTAGAAAGGATCTCTATAATTTTAACGAAAAATTTCGTATTTCTATGATTTTGCAGAAAATATGTCATGATAAGGAAAATACGAAAAGCGTTAAAGATCTTGAGTTGCTTAAACGAAATTTTCAGGAATCGATTTTCACATCGGCTTAAATTTGTGTGAGGAACATCGAGTGGCTCGTGTAGCTCCTCTTCCGTTTTCTGAAATATTAGGAGCGATATTGCGCGACCTCAGAGTTATTGTCATGCTATATGATGTTCTCACAGCAAACAATGTATATCCACAAAATAAATATATACGTAATTTGAGGCAAACATTTTTATTGCAGAAAAACCAATTTACACGTACCATCATGAATCCTTCATGGATGAGTTGTTTCACGCAATGCACAATGAATAATCCCGAACAACATGCCATGGAACAAGCGGCTGCACTTGGCATTGGAAATGCTCGATCATTGGCGATGATATTCAATTTGGTAATGTGTTCTTCTCTTTTGTCAAAATACAGATATGTTTGGCTGGGTTGAATCTTGTCTTCAAAAATGTCCATCTAAATCCTTGCAGCCAATTAAACTTTTTTTCACATGTTTCAGTTCATAAACGGACGGATAGTTAGTGAGAAGACTTTAGCCATATTGGAAAAACCCGTTAGCAATGAGACGGACTACGTGGTACGAACGACCTTAGTCAAAGGACATGGCTTCTTCTATCACCGGCCAATGGGAAATGGAGTGAATCTTTCATGATATAGCCAAAGAAAGATTTGTCCCCGGTATTACTCATCTTGAATCTAATTTAGAAGCTACCGATGATAGGCCATCCCGGTTACGGATGTCAACAAGTAATATTTGATTTGGAAAGAAAGATAGTCATTGCATACGTTACCAATGGAATGAAGATGGGAATGTACCAGGGATGTCGCACCTATGCTCGATTACATAAAGCCGTATACGATATTATAGAACAATTGTGATTCTTCTTAGTAGATTGTTGTCAGTAATCATTTTCCATTCGTAAGCAAAAAAACTCTATTATTTGAAGCTGTTATCTAAGCTATAAAGTTTTCGACTCAGTTATTTTTGCAACGCAGCTCACAGAGTGATGGCCCTTGCAATTCTGATCTCTTAAGAACT